GCCGGCGTCGAATGCTTAGAATATCATGGACGGACAGGGTCAGAAATGAGGAAGTACTCAGAAGAGCGGGCTTACAGGATAGGGAACTTTTAAGTTATGTAAAAAGTAAGAAGACTGCATACTTGGGGCACATATTACGAGGAGAAAGATACACTTTTCAGCAACTGATACTCGAAGGGAAGATAGAGGGTAGGAGAGGTCTGGAACGTAAAAAAATGTCATGGCTGCGCAATATTCGACAATGGACAGGAATCCACAGCTATGAAATGCCTCGCAATGCTGCTAAAAACAGAATTATTTAATCCAGAATATTTAACATCTCACCTGACAAGACGATGTACAGTGGACTCCTACGCAGAAATGCACGACACCTTAAGAAGAAGAATATATTGGATTTGATTCTAGAATATTTTATTATGTCAGCAATATTTTTGATTAAGTTCTTTTATAAACTTTTTTTTTTTAATTAAAAATCCTTTGTAAAAGGTATATTTTAGGCCCAAACGGGCTAAGTTAAAAAGACAAAACGTTTTCGGAAACCATGTTCCATCATCAGTGTCCTAGAAAATAGTTAACCACTTAATTAAAAAGAACATAGGTTAAAATTTTGACTAAGGGTAAAGAACAATGTGGTTAATACTTACTAGGAGTACATGAATGAAGCCACCAAGATTAAATATGTGGGTAAAAACCCGGTTACATATGTTTAATTACATTTAGTTTTAAATTAATGTTGAAATGATATAAGATTACAGAGTTACCGATGGATTTGGTAACATGGCGACATATGACTCCACGTTGAAGTTGCTAGTCCTGAGACGGTATGTCTTCGAGGACTATATGAGTGCAACTGATTGGCAATGACATTTGATGACAATATTGTTAAGTTATGACGGAACTAATCACAGAGCAGTCAATGTAGCTGTATGTTTCTACTTAAGACAAAAGCCAACGTTATTTAAAATTGTGAAAATTAAGTACATTAATATAACAGTATCAACCATCAAAGTTGTAGTTTTTGATTTATGAAATTGAGATGATATAAGGGGGCAAAATTTTTATGGTTGTAGTTAGGCAACCAACTATGCATGTATGTAGTAATGAAATATACAAAAATTTTTTTAATTATATGGCCCTTTATGTTACTTAAACATTTGGTACCCAGAAAATATAAACTAGACACATGTGGAAGGTTGAATTATAGAAAATATTGATGTTAATGGTTGGATCTAAATATATATATTTATCATTGGAGGTGTTCTTGTTTGAATAAAATAAAACTGTTTTAGTGAATGTTCACATGTTATTTAACTTTCAACTCAAATATAGAGGTCCTGTATGTCAGAAGCAACATTTGGTACCTAGCAAATGTGAAAATTTATTTTGAGTGATAAGTTCATGAACATAAATGTCTGACAAGGTAGTAACAGACTAAAAGGTGTGGAAGTTTTATTGTATTAACTATTATATGTAATGAACGAAAGATTTTATTTTGATGGTTGGAACATGATTATGTAGTATGTTGCAAGTGTGATAATCTGCTTATAACTTAAGAAAGGTAAACTGCTTATAACTTAAGAAAGGTTAAAGTATAACCTTTCTTAAGTTATAAGCAGATTATCACACTTGCAACATACTACATAATCATGTTCCAACCATCAAAATAAAATCTTTCGTTCATTACATATAATAGTTAATACAATAAAACTTCCACACCTTTTAGTCTGTTACTACCTTGTCAGACATTTATGTTCATGAACTTATCACTCAAAATAAATTTTCACATTTGCTAGGTACCAAATGTTGCTTCTGACATACAGGACCTCTATATTTGAGTTGAAAGTTAAATAACATGTGAACATTCACTAAAACAGTTTTATTTTATTCAAACAAGAACACCTCCAATGATAAATATATATATTTAGATCCAACCATTAACATCAATATTTTCTATAATTCAACCTTCCACATGTGTCTAGTTTATATTTTCTGGGTACCAAATGTTTAAGTAACATAAAGGGCCATATAATTAAAAAAATTTTTGTATATTTCATTACTACATACATGCATAGTTGGTTGCCTAACTACAACCATAAAAATCTTGCCCCCTTATATCATCTCAATTTCATAAATCAAAAACTACAACTTTGATGGTTGATACTGTTATATTAATGTACTTAATTTTCACAATTTTAAATAACGTTGGCTTTTGTCTTAAGTAGAAACATACAGCTACATTGACTGCTCTGTGATTAGTTCCGTCATAACTTAACAATATTGTCATCAAATGTCATTGCCAATCAGTTGCACTCATATAGTCCTCGAAGACATACCGTCTCAGGACTAGCAACTTCAACGTGGAGTCATATGTCGCCATGTTACCAAATCCATCGGTAACTCTGTAATCTTATATCATTTCAACATTAATTTAAAACTAAATGTAATTAAACATATGTAACCGGGTTTTTACCCACATATTTAATCTTGGTGGCTTCATTCATGTACTCCTAGTAAGTATTAACCACATTGTTCTTTACCCTTAGTCAAAATTTTAACCTATGTTCTTTTTAATTAAGTGGTTAACTATTTTCTAGGACACTGATGATGGAACATGGTTTCCGAAAACGTTTTGTCTTTTTAACTTAGCCCGTTTGGGCCTAAAATATACCTTTTACAAAGGATTTTTAATTAAATTTTTAATACATGGTATACAGCCAACTACAGGAACGTAGATTCCTTGTGGCTTTTATAAACTCTTCCCGGCATTCTCTTTTTGCCATATTTATCATTGTTTTAAGATTATGCTATTATAACATTCTTCTCAGCATTCCCCTTTTGCCCACTTTATCATGTAACGACATATTTTGCTTACCATAGGGGACTTTAACACAAGGGGTAGAAAATTGGGGGAAGAAACTAAGGGGGTGGAGATAGGGCAAGCAAAATAATCGCTACTTGTGCGAACGGCACTCAGGGTTTCGTAGGAGAGCTGGGGTCGTGGATAAGTAAAAGATAAGGGCATTGGACTGGGGCAACTACAAAAAAATGAAATAAAGGGCTCTTGGGATAAACAAAATAAAAATAAACAAGAAACACCTCAAGGAATTTAATATAGGGCGCCACTTGAGGTGCCTAATTATGCCTATTACAACCACTGGTTGTAACTAGGCAAATAATTAGAAAACAAAATCAAAACATAAAAAACATATCTTTTTCAAATAAACTCAAAAAGGGTTAGCTCAAAAAAAATAAATAAAAAGTTAAGAAAATAAAATTTAACTTTTATTTATGTGTCACCACAAACAGTTACATGGAGAAATACAAAATTCAAAAACTTACATGTGTCATCCATTAACAAACTCCATTGCTACAAAACTTACAAAATTGCATGGAGGTTAACCTTTTAAAAAAAAAACAAAACAAATCAACATCAAAAATACTAAAACGAGCTGTCATAAATTAACATTAAATTTCAAAAAAAAAAAACTAAACACATAAATTGACAGCTCAACTCAAAACCAAAAATTTACAATTTTAAATGTAACGAAAGCAATTATTATTTCATAAAAAAAATTGTCTGTCTTTAGTTTAAAATTTGAACACAAAAAAACAGTTACCTTGATTTACATATTTCCACTTCACAAAAAGAACTTGTTGTATCTCTGTAGCATCCATCCGGAGATCGGAGATCAGCGGCAAACACATCCATTTGGGGCCGAAACCGGAACAGGACATCCATTGGGGGCCGGAACACACCAGGGAAAACGGGAACCCTCAAAAAAAAAACATGAACCCTCCAACAGGAACCAGACTTTTCAAAAATCTCGAAATATCGAGCGATAACTCCATTACTCCCGGCAAATTAATGCCGGTCACTTCATACTGGACAAAATCCATCACTACTGCTACCCATTTCCACCACAATCAACGAAAAAACAGAAAATTTTACAAACTCGACATGAATTTAGACATAACGCTGAACCGCCCTTGCTCGCGCGGTTCCACCGAGAGTCACGAAATTATCTATTAAAATTGATCGCACAACTTGACATAGCAAAACAAACAAACAAACACTTGACATAGCAAAATCAACGAAACGGCGTACATATCCTTTTGCGACGCATCAACATAAAAAGAATTTGCCGAAGTAAAATAAACAACCCTCAAATGGTTTTATTACTCGGCGACGAAACACTTTTGGGTACTTTGAAAGATACGAACTAACAAACACGGGAGAATTCCTCGTTTTATTTTTTAAATATATATAAGGAGTTTTTAATATATTTTATTATACGAGAAGGTTTCAATATACTCAAAAGAATCAATGAAATTGAAAATGCTACAATCATTGTTTTAAGATCATGTCATTCATCTAATATATATTTGAACTTTAACTTTTAGTTGAATATCCGTCTTGTACTTTCATTAGTTCCCAATTTGTATTGACTACTACGCATACCTTAATTGCTTTTTCTATTATAACGCTTCCCACCTCTAGTCTAAGTTCCACCTTTGTTTTGTTCCTTATATTCTTTGAAATCTTTCACCAGTTTTTAGTTACTATTTTCCTATGTTTTTATTTCCTTATTCTTACTTTATTACAATGTAGGTATCATGTACACACAAGTATGTATCATAATTTTTTGTCTTTAAATCACTAGAGTGTATTAGTTGATTTGTAGTGCAGTCAATTAAATTCTATTTTGACTTTATTAGATCTAATCATTGACATTTTCAGAATAACTTCTTTAACTGTTTTGAATAGTTCGAATAGTTTCAACTGTAGTGTTTATTTTTAATAATTCAAAAGTATTTATCTTCTATACTAATTTGTTTCATCATCGACATCATGCTTCATTCTGCCGAATATCTTTTGTAGTCTATAAAACACAGTAAAACACCCAACAGACGTACACACTCACCTACGGGTTACTTCACAGTTAAGGCCCAACAAACCTACGAGCCAATGAAGCTCTAGCACTTCTATGAATAAAGGATGATAAAAAAAAACAAAATTATTTTTATTTTCTCAAAATCAACTTGTCGTATTTTGTTCTTACATTTAAGTTTTCTTTTAACAAATAACTGAATTATAAAATAAATTTGTTTGGCTTTGGTTTCTTGTAGTATTGCTGATCTTCTAATTTACCCCCATAAGATATTAATTCGTGATTGTACATACATTGTACAATTGTGTTCGTGTTTCTTACTGCTTTCCTAAAATAAATTTGTTTGTCATCATTGTTTCATTATCAAAGTTTACAATTTCATAAATTTTTAAAACAAATAAACTGAATTGAGTTTAAAACCACTTTTCTTAAATTTAAGACAACGAAGAAAACGTTGTAGATGAAAGGATGAAGATAAAGGCTAAGAAATAAACAAGCTGCTTGTAATCTACGTCATTTACGGTACCCAAATGCACGATTAGAAGAAATTAATTATGTATGAAACTATTAGCAAATGTACAGATAAAATTAAGAAATAACGAAAATGGGATGCGGAACAATGTCTTCTCTCATCGATTTCTTTAGTCTCAGTTGTCCCCTAGATAGAAAAACAAGGAACTTTGCTGTAACCAGCTTTTTTCCATAAGCAGTATATACAGTGCGTTATCAAATTATTATAGCCACCTCATAAAATTTTACCTTTTGTTTAACAATGGTATGTAATTGAGCTATAAAACATATTTTGTAATTAATTCTATTGTGCTGTGATTTAGAACCTTATAAAGTTAGTTAGTTTACGAATATTACAAAAGAAATGATAAATTACATGAAAACACTTAAAACTAAAATAAGGCATTTTGTAACAGTTTTTGCCTTACGACAAGGCGCCCAAGTCATGCATAAACGTAAAACTCTTATTCGGGAACCACTCCTGGGGGTTGGGTAGCATTTTTGTTTGCAGTACTCTCAAGTACTGGTCTTGCCGCATTGTTCCTTCGGAAATGCAGAGGCTACCAGTTCCTTAACTGCTTATGATAGAGCATAACGTGTTGCTCAGGGGTGCTTTACCATCCTACAATATAATACAATACAATCCGCTTTGTATTTTGCCCAGGTCTTCTCCTCACAAATTCAGCTCTATCCATGACGATCTGCACGGAAGATTCGTCGGAAAAACAAACCCTTTAACCCATTGAAGCCGTTTTTCTTCATAGCTGGTGTGAGTAACGACTGTTTTGTAGGTCGACAGGTTAAAAAACCCAGACCCTTTATTCGCCCACGAGCTCTCATTGGTGAAATATTGATTCCAGACTTCTGCATCATTTTAGTTAACATTCTTCGAGGTTATTTTCTGTTTACCAAGACAGTATCTCGACTTTTTCTTTCATCTCATGATGTTGTAATTTTTTGACCACACTTTTGTTTGCGACGTGAGGTCAAATCCGAATTTTCGTCAAGTTTTTTCTTTATACGTTTCACAGTTCCCTTTGAAACTGAAATTAATGCAATTTTTCTGTTGGAGTGATAAGTTTTAAGAAACATAAAGTTTTTATTTCCGCTATTTTCCTTGGTGAGATGTCTTTGGCTTTTTCCATGATGTTTTGGTACCACTGGTGTAACGAACACGCAATGTTTGCTAAATTCACTTTTTTTTTTAATTGGCTTTGGCTTGAAACCTTTAGCCACGTAATTACATATGAATATTAGTATTCATTCATACAGGATTGTACAAGGAGGATACTTTTCACGCTCAGGGATTCATCAGAGCGGCTTTATTGTAGCAAACAAGACATAAACCACGGTTAGGTAGGTGGGCAACATATATGGTAAACATAAAAAGGAAATGTTCAAGCATACGATCAATTTTACACTCATACCTTTAATTTAATAATAATAATACTCCGCCTGGGTTGTCAGATGAGCGGATTGAGTAGCTCATCGGATGACACTGCCGGTCCCAAGCCCGGATAAAGGAGGAGGGTCCCCATGGCAAGGCTAGCCACCTACCTGGGGTAAAGAAACCCATATTGGCTCACAGAACTGAAGATTCAGCCTCGGATACCGGACGGAAATATCAGATGACGACACACGATATGACAATGGAAAAACGAATTGGTAAACGAAAACCTAAAGACCCCATCACACAAATCGCGTGCTGGAACATTACGTCGTGGAACGGAAGAGACCAGGAGATCATAATAGAAATGAAGAAACACAATATTGACATCTGCGGAATCTCCGAAACAAAGAAAAAAGGCCAAGGAACATCAAAATACGGAGAATTTATACTCATATACAGCGGGAAAGCTAAACAAGAAAGAGCGCATTCAGGAGTTGGAATTTTGCTGCACGATAAATACACGCAAAACATCGAAGATATCGAATACATCAACGATAGATTATTAAAAATCTCTATAAAAATGCGTAACATCACAACACACCTGATAAGCACGTATGCCCCAGACATATCTAAGACTACAGCAGAAACTGAAAATTTCTATCAGCAACTACAAAACGTCGTAGATAACATAAATATGAAACACAAAATTATCGTACTCGGGGATCTTAATGCACGGATCGGAAACGTTGTCATACCAGGTATAAAACAAAAGTACAACGAAGAAATAATTAATGAAAACGGTGAAGCACTAATAGACTTTTGCGCTAGAAATGAAATGAGAATCAACAATACATACTTTCCTCATAAAGACCAACATAAATACACTTTTAACAATAATCGAGGCCAGCGATCAATGATAGATTTTATAATCACAAATCGAGCGATAGCTCCGTCACAAGTACTTGATGTCAGAGCACTAACATCTGCTAACCTGGGGACTGATCATAACCTTGTTTTATGCAAGATGCTACTAGAACGTCCGCAACGAAACAGAAAACCCCCAATGTTCATCGAAAAACATAATATAGAGTCGCTAGCAACAGAGAGTACAAAACTGCTTTATGAGAACAGGATTACCAGCAAACTAAAAGAGATCGACTTAAAACCCGAATGGGGAGTAGAAGATACTTGGCAAAAAATTAAGAAATGCATCAACGAAGCAGCAGAAGAAGCGATTGGAAAGCGGAAAATTAACACGAGAGCGACAAACCACACCAAACCGTGGTTTTGCCAAGATGTAAAAGAACTCTCTGAATTAAAACGCAAATGCTACCTGAGATATAAAAGCACGCAATCGAAAGAAGCTCATGCAGAATATGTCCAAATAAGAAACGAAGTAAACGACAGAATAAAATCAATCAAAAGAGAACATTGGGCCAAATTCACTTGCGACATGGACTACGACCTATATGGTGCCCAAAAGAAAGTATGGAAAATGTTCCGCAACAGGAAAAAACCAGTTAACTCTCCAGAGTGGAGACCAAAGGAGTACCTATAGAGGCATGGCAACAGCATTTTAAAGAGCTATATGATGCTGAAGAAACGCTGAATATAAACGAAGGCGAAACAGATGTGAGTGCTACAATCAATGACGAAGAAGTAGAAGCAAAGATCAAAAAGCTAAAAAACAGAAAATCACCGGGAACGGATGGTATACCCAATGAACTTTTAAAATATGGAGGCCCGGAACTTGCAAGTAAACTGGCACAACTATTTAACAAAATATTAAACAAAACAGAAACACCAGAGGAATGGCATAATAGTATCACAATCCCCATATTTAAAAAAGGACAAAAAACCTGCCCACAAAACTATAGAGGAATAACCCTCTTAAATACAACAATGAAACTTTTCACGGGTATTCTCAAGGACAAATTGGAAAAGCAAATCACTAATGCTGAAGAACAACAAGGTTTTACAAAAGGGCGGTCTATAACAGACGCAGTATTTATAATAAAACAAATAAAAGAAAAAGCTATAGAGTTCGGCATGCCAGCGTATATTTGCTTCATTGATTTGACGAAGGCATTTGACAGAGTTCGCCTGGGAGACATTCTAAATATATTAATAGAAAATGAAACACCGACCAGTATAACAAAGATACTCCATAACCTAAATAACAACAACGTAACCAAAGTTAGAGCAGGAGACGAATTCACTGAAAATATTCCAACACCGGGAGGAATTAGACAAGGCGACAGTTTAAGCCCCTTCTTGTTTAATCTTCTCATGGACAAAATTATCAACAAAGTAACATCTCTTAATCTCGGATATAGAATGGGCAACAAAAGAATTGGTATCGTGTGTTACGTAGACGATGCAGCAATTATTGCCGAATCAGAAGATGATCTCCAAAGGCAGCTCTTTCAGTTCTTTCAAACAAGCCGACTACTAAATATGAACATCTCTACCAACAAAACTAAATGTATGACAATAGCAAAAGATCCGCTCAGATGTAAGTTAGTGGTTGCGGACAACCCCATAGAACAGGTGATGCAATTCAGATATCTGGGCATAGATATATCAAGCACCCACGACCCAGTAAAGGACCTGAGGAGTCAGATCAACAAAGCATCTGCACTGTCAGGATGTCTGCGGGAGATAGTCTGGTCAAATCCGTATATGCGCACAGATAGTAAAATTAGAATCTATAAGACTTGCATACGACCGATCATGACATATGGCATAGAAGTGCGCGAAGATACCAACAAAACGAAACAGATGCTAAGGGTTGCCGAAATGAAAACCCTAAGAACAATAATGGGGAAAACAAGAAGAGACAGAGTGAGAAATACAAATATTAGAGAGCAGTGCAAAATTCAAGATATTGTAAGATGGGGAAGGCAGCGCAAGAGGATGTGGTACAACCATGTAAGACGAATGGATGAGAATAGACTCCCAAAAATTGCCCTAGGAAACAATCCGCCTGGTTCAAGACCCCCCGGAAGACCACCTAAAAGATGGAGGGATAGTTGGCAATCTACCTCCCAAGAAATTAACCAGAGGCAGCTTCAGAATTAAACAGATCGAAAGATCTACAAAAAGTAGAAGAAGAAGACCTTTAATTTAATTGTTACAAGAAATATCATAATGATTTTAAAAATTTTTATATTGTCTTCACTTAATAGAAGATTTACGTTTAATGGTGTACCTAAACCCTCTTTTATCAATTCTTATAGCAGCCACGTGCTTGTATTACGATGTAGTGGGCAGTTGAAAAATATGTGATTTAAATCAGGTATACTAGTTCCACACTCACAGCGGTTTGTTGGGAGAACTCCTATTTTGTGTAGATGTGTTGGAAAACATCCATGATCTACTTTTAATCTTAAGACAGTTGACACTGTGTTTCTGATTAGTGTATCTTTGTAAAATTGTTTTGCAGCTACTGTTGGTTGTAATTTGTATAAATTAGTGCCTGTGCTTTCACCAAACTGAATCCATCATCTGTCCCATTTAAATTAAATATGTTGTTTGATAAAGACAAGTAGGTTACATGTGTTGAATTCTTCTATCATCATATGTGGGTGCTGTAATGGATTTTTAGCTAGAGAATCAGTAACAGTATTGCCAAAAATATCCGAGTGTCCCTTAACATACAAATTTAACACCATATGGACCTGATAGTTTTAATAACTGTTGAAAAATTTCTAATATGAATATATTGCCATTGATTGTGAATTTAAAGTTTTGTGAGGAGTGTCACAATAGCCAAATAGCCATTATGATTGCCAACCTCCGTAGGGAGACAGCACTCTAAGAAGAAGAAGAGGAGTGTAATACTGACATTGAATCACTGCATATGACAATTTTGTTCCACTGGTTTTCACAGCACAATTCAAGGGCTTTGTACATAGCACATGCTTCAATAGAAAATATGTTGGATTGATTATTTAAAATAAATTATTTTTTAATCTTCATTTTTGGTACAAAGTAAGTAAGCACTGGTTGTACATGTTAGTGATTTTGACTCGTCTGTATAGATCACAATATGGTCTGAATAGCCACTTAAGATTTCTTTATGAGTAGTGTAACAAAATTCGTTTTGGTATTTAGGAATAATATTATTTGTAGCTAGAACACTTGTTAGATGTGGTATATCCAACGATTCCCAGATAAGATTACAAGGGGAATTTATTCCCCTTATTAATTATAACTATTGCATCCGTGGTTTTATAACCTTGTTTATATCCATATTGTATTGATGGTAGAATATTATGCCGCCTTAACCAAATTTTCATTCTCAATTTTAGAATTCTTTGAAATGTTTTGTAAATGCATGACAATAATTTTATTGGTCTATATGATTCCGGAATATCTTTGTCTTTTCCCGGTTTTAGAATTAATATAACAAAGCAATCATTAAATTTGTAAGGAGGTATTCCAGTTATAAATATGTAGTAGTAGTCTTTTAGCCAGTACACCCATTATTTGTAACATAATATAAGAAATCTGAGCTGGACCTGTGTTTTTTGATATCTTGATAGCATATTCAAGTTCGAATGATGTTATTTCTTTTAATAAATAATGTTCTTCTGAATTAAAATGGCATTAAAAAACAGCAAAATGGTAAAGCATTAGGTCCAGACCAAATCACTATAGAAATCTTAAAATGCATGAATGATGAAACCTTAGACATTATAGTAGACTTATTTAACTCAGTATGCAAAACAGGACACATACCGAAAAAATAGTTACTCTCCACCTTTTGCGTTATCCCTAAAAATACAAACGCTTAATATTGCAGTGAATACAGAACATATCACTAATAAGACACATTCTCAAATTATTCCTGAAAATAAGACATGGTCGTATAAATAAAAAAGTGGAAGAAGGAATAGATGACAGTCAGTTTGGGTTAAGAAACGGACTAGGAACCAGAGAAGCGTTATTTGCTTTTATTGTGTTAGCTCAAAGATGCATGGATATTAATGTTGATGTGCATGTTTGTTACGTTGATTTTGAAAAAGTTTTTGACAAAGTAAGACATGAAAAATTAGTCCAAATTCCAAAGACAAAAAACATAGACCATAGGGACTTACGAATAATAACAAACCTCTACTGGAATCAAAGAGTACAAATCGTAATAGATAACGAACACAGTCCAGAAATTGAAATCAGGAGAGGAGTTAGGTAGGGATGTATTATGTCCCCATTACCATTTAATATATATAGTGAAGCCATTTTTGAAGAAGCATTACTATCTCAAAGTGTAGGAATAATAATAACTGGAAGATCTATTAACAACATAAGATATGTAGATGACACCGTGATTATGACAAGCTCTGCTGAATAACTCCAATTACTGCTAAACAAAACAAACAGTTTCTGTGAAAAATATGGACTACAAATGAATATAAAAAAGACCAAATACATGATAATAACAAAGAAAACAAATATACCAACAAACATACATTTGGGAAATGTACCGATAGAAAGGGTTGATAAATACAAATACCTAGGAACCTGGATTTCAGACAATAATGATTAAACAACCGAAATATGAGCTAGGATACAAATAGCAAGAAATTCTCTGCAACAAAAATCTCAGATTAGAACTGAGACTAAGAGCACTGAGATGCTACGTGTTTTCGATACTGCAATATGGACTTGAAAGCTGGACATTGAAGCAAGAACACAAAAATAAGTTACAGTCCTTTGTAATGTGGTGTTGCAGGAGGATGCTTAGAATAGCATGGACACAGAAGAAAACTAACACGGAAGTATTGCGGGAAATGGGCAAAAAATTCGAAATAATAAACACAATAAAAATAAGAAAATGAAATAATAAACACAATAAAAAGAGAATAAAATGGACGTGAAATCAAATCTTGACTGTCTTTTTTATTTTATTCGGATCTAGTCTGTATGAGTACAAGAAACCAATTCGCTAAGGATTTCTGCTTAGTTGAGGAAAGATGTCGTGGAATGCAAATTTTAGATTCCCCATGTCTCTTTGAACATCTTTATCAACGTCTGTGTGCCTTGAAATTTTTAGAAGGTTCAGATTAAAGCAGAAATCTGAATTGGTTTCGAAACTACTTTACGGATTTATTATCAGATGTCGCTATTGCGGCATATTCAACGGATGAAAAGCAGGAAAGCTGTAGGGCCTGATAATATCGAAGCTGAATGTTTAAAACTCTTGGAAGAAGAAGGAATAATTTGGACCACGGCTGTCTTCAATAAAATATACAATACAGGAATCATCCCTGATAAATGGCTAGAATCAGAATTCATAGCGATACCTAAAAACAGGGGACTAAAAAGTGCGAAGAATATCGAACAATCAGCCTAATGAGCCACATGTTGAAACTGTTTCTTAGAGTCATCCATGGAAGAATTTATAAGAAGTGCGAGGAACAAATATCGAACAGTTCGGCTTCATTAACGCAGTGGGTACCAGAGAGGCACTTTTCGGAGTACAGGTACTGATTCAAAGATGCAGGGACGTTAACTGCGACGTATACGCGTGCTTAATCGACTATGAAAAGGCATTTGACAGAGTTCAACTTTAAAAGATGATAAACATTTTAAAAGAGGCAGACCTGGATGACAAAGACCTCAGAATAATTTCAGAACTCTACTGGAATCAGACCGCATACATGAAAATTAACGGAAAAGAAACAGATCACATAAAAATACTACGTGGAGTTAGACAAGGATGTATCCTATCGCCGTTGATATTTAATATGTACTCAGAGAAAATTTTTAACGAGGCTCTTTACGGAATAGACGAAGGCATCCTTCTAAATGGTGAAAGAGTAAACAATGTTAGATATGCCGACGACACCATGGTGATAGCAGATAGTTTAGAGGGACTTCAGAGGCTAATGGATAGAATAAACGAGTACAGTGAACAATGCGGACTAAACATTAATACCCACAAAACGAAACAAATGATTATCAGCAAGGAGAATATAAATGGGGCTCATTTATACATTAATGGGACGCAGATAGAGCGAGTAAAACAGTATTGTTACCTGGGAACTATTATTAACCAACAGTGGAGCAATTTACAGGAAATAAAGTGCCACATAGGAAAGGCAAGAACGGTCTTTAACAAAATGAGCGCCATCTTCAAAAGTCACAACATATCCCTTGATACAAAAATGAGACATTTGAGATGCTATGTTTTCTCTGTGTTGTTGTACGGAGCGGAGGCATGGACGCTTACAGACACCACTATTAAAAAACTTGAAGCATTTGAGATGTGGCTTTATAGAAGAATGCTGAGAATATCATGGACAGCAAGGATCACGAACAAGGAAGTTCTAGGAAAAATGAAGAAGGAACCAGAGATTGTGTTTACGATCAAACGCATAAAATTGCAATATCTGGGACGCGTTATGAGAAATCAGCACCGTTACTCCCTGCTACAGTCTACATTGCAAGGTAAAGTCAAAGGTAAGCGAGGACCCGGTAGAAGGAGAATATCATGGCTTCAGAATTTAAGAACATGGTTTAAGAAAACCTCAACGGAGCTGTTTCGAGCCGCAGCGAGCAAGGTTATGATTGCCAATATGATTTCCAACATCCGAAACGGATAGGAACCAGAAGAAGAAGAAGAAGTCGCTATTGCGTCCATATCGAAGCCATTTTAATGTTCCTTCTTAAAGACAGAAAATATTTATTTTTCACGGTGAGAACGCCTATGAATAGCTGTTCTGATGAGGCCGAAATACGTATAAACAGATACATAGACGCTTTGTCAAAGCTTGACTGTCTTTTTCAAAAAAATAAGAAAGTTACAATATCTGGGACACGTAATGAGGGGAAAGCAATATGAACTGCTAAGGCTGATAATACAGTGAAAGATAAGAGGAGGAAGGAGTATATCAAGACGAGTGTCATGGTTAAAGAATTTAAGGGACTGGTTTAAATGTAGTTCTATAGAACTCTTCATAGCAGCAGTAGATTAAGTAAAGATAGGGATGATGATATCCAACCTCCGTTTGGGAGACGGCACTTAAAGAAGAATGAGTTCTTCTGAATGTAAACAAACTCGGAGATAAGATTTTTCAAATCACAAAACACGACTAAAATTACCTTTTAAGATGAACTCTTAGATGAACCACCTGAAATATTTAGCGAACTGAAATCTCCTGTGTTGCAGGGTATGCTTGGTATCCTCGAGCCTTGTTTCGAAAACCCGGAATATTCGGACGTCGTTGGTTTAATGGGGGGCGGTAAATTAACCGATGGAGTTTCTTCTAGTTTGTCCAACAACGATTCTTCGCTTTTGGCTTCTTCTAAAAACGGCAAAACAAAGCTATCCGTTTTCATTATTTTTGGCTCTATTTGAGTAAATGAAACGTTGGAAGGTATCAAAGGACTTTGAGTTATAGGACAAGATAAACCAACAGGACTGAATGGATCTGAGCTGACGTAACCTGGAGTAGGTGATTTTCTTTTGTCGGGAGTTAAATCTTCTGCCATGCTGTTTTCTGTGCTCAAATCTGAGAAATCGATATCGTAGTTAACTTTTGATAATCCAAGGTAGCTGTTGTCATCAGGAGTTATGCTCTCAAAACTCTTATCTTGTGCTGGAGATTGTAATAATAACTCATTCGAGTAAGTCTTTTTCATAAGATTAGTACTACTTGGTAGTGTTATACACGGTGTAATGTCTAACTGTAACTTATTTCTGGTACTATCTAAAGCATTGATTTGACTAAGAGATAAATTTTGTAAGTAGTAGTTTTTTTGTAGGTTTAAATCTTCTTCAGGCTGAATTTCCTTTTGTGATATGGATGGTGTTATTGTTATTGCGGACGAAGACGCAGCTTTCATCTTTTCTCTAGTTAATGTTGTCAATGTCAGTGGAGTTTTTCTTGGCTTGATGATCATCGGTGTTCGTGCAAGTACAGCTACAACATTTTCGCAGATTTCCTCCTAAAATGAAAAAACGAAAATAAAAAAATGTTTATGGCCACATATTCTACACTATTATATTTTTTATAACACTTTGAATTAAATATTATTTTATATGAGATTAAATCACAATTGGTTGTACTGAGAATAACATTTTTTAAAAAAACAAATTTTCTAAGCTTTATTCTTTCTAAGCTTAGTCATGACTAGTCGTTTAGAAAATCCAATCGAGTTAGAATCTATGGAGAGGGTATGAAGTGACTAAAAACGACCTCACTTCGGCCATATTGTTATGATCGTTGTATTAGATCGAGTATGATTGTTTACGTTTGTTGGGTTTAGAATATTTTTAGTTTTAATACTTTTATAGTAACTGTAATTATTATATTGTGATAGTGCATAATAATAGTTTCTTGTTCTCAACGTAGTTGCAGTAGCAGTATTGATAAAAATCTTCAGGAATAATGTTTCTTAGGTTGGTATAATGTCGAGCAATTTTCAATTAAAGGTGACTAATCTACAAATGGCAACCATGTAAAATGACAGCAGTAAATTCTTATCAGGGTCATTTTTCTTGTGTATGCTTTGCCCATGTAAATAAGTGAAAAGTAAGATAATTTCATCAAATTTGCCTCCGTAACAATATAAATTGTTGCGATTCGCGAGTATATAGTGAGACAAGTTCATTAGATAGTTTGTAACATCGGTAAACTTATCAATATTTTGCTGGGATAGATATATTTACATTCTTCGAAAGAATGGGGATGAGAAAAATATGATATTTTAGTTTATTCGTTCCACATTATATATGTGCATAGGCGTAGTGTGTTCTATTTCTTGGGAATATATTTATTAAATAGAGTTTATTATTAACTTTAAAATATTCTTAAGGTAAGTAAAATAAATTTGAGGCAAGTTTATTCTTTATATAGCATTAACTCATTAACGGCCGCTCAATATACAAAAATGAATTTGACAATTAATTTATTAGATTGAATTAAAACACATAAATTAAGACTAATATACAACCAAATTTTTTTTTTCATTTTCAAGGAAAACAGTACAATTTTTAATAAAGGAACATACTATTAAGTGTAAATTAAATTTTAAGGTGCAAATTTTCGAAACATTCGGGGCGTAGATGCATTCTACACCTTTTACATAAATAAATGGTATTACTTTTGCACATCCTACATTCTTGCACTATTATATTTTTTTTGTAATGTGGCCAATATTGTTGAATCTGGTTTCATCTGGTAAAGCAAATTTAGATTGACGTCCATGTACTAAGTTTGACACTGATCTAGCGGTTTCTTCACTATTATAAATTATAAATATAAGTATATGTCGGCACATGCTCTCTTTTATAATGTGCACTTCTTCATCCTCATTATTTGACCAATGCATATCAACGTAAAGCAAAGTGTGAACCAGATAATATACATATGCTAATAATTTTTTTTAAATCTATGTTATTCATTTCAAAAGCGCGACGGTTATTCTGCGATGCATAAATATTTGTAAAATATACAATGTTCTCAATTACTTTTTTATCAAAAAAACTTCAATATATGAGTTGCCTCCATGGTTGGCTTTTATATTGTCTAAATATCAATCAGACTGATGTTGAATTACTACTGAGCACGAAGGAGTATCTCTTGTTACAACTTGAGACAAATTTGGATTTACTATTTTTGCCTGGTTTTTTCTTCGGACGTTTTATCTGCGGTTCAGAGGAATATCATAATCAGAATCGTCAGAATTGCCAATCACTTGTATTTCATATGTACCTGCAATATCCGATTTTATTAATTCTTCACAAATAATATTATCATCAATGTCTTCTACATTAGAAACTTTTTAATCTAATCTCGGCGGCAAATAAACCACATTAAGTGAGTTGGCATTTTCACAATCTGAGTCTTCTTCTAACAAAGCTGTGAACTCTTTAGTAGTTAGTGCCATCTTCATTTCATATTTCGGGAATTTACTGAAATAAACAAATGCACTACTATATACACGCATTCACATGATAATAGTTTAGCTACTTACTTCATTTTAATTTATATGAACTTCATAATATATTTTTACATTTATATAAACAAATAAATACAAGAAAACGTTCTAATTAAGTTAAAAAAAAACAAACATAACGTTTACAGCACACAGCAATTGTAGAAGAAGATGTGAATGATGTGTAATGACGAGATCGTATGTTAAAATTTCAGATTGTTTAGTCTAATGAAAAAAATAAGTATTTTTCAAAGTTTTCTGTCTTTTTAAAATTCTGTATTAGGTACTCTCTAATTTTTTTCTAATTTAGGTAACATATTTTTTTATTTCTACACAGTGTTTCGATTGTGATATTCGGCAGGTATTTATTGTTGTTTGTTTAATAATAACTTGTCTAACTTTGTTAATTGAACTAATTTTTGGACAAGTATGTAACGAACTTTGCACAGCGTTCAGTTAATTTGAAGTTATCAAATACATACGTTGTAATACGAACGTATTTCTTTTATTTCAAACTGTATATTTAGTTTAGCCTTTAAAGTATTATTTATATTATCTCTTTCAGGTACCCATTGTTATTTGATTGTATTAGTTATTCTTTATATATTATCTATGTCCTATTTATAGTGTTTACAGTGGGATATAATTACTCTTTCCCACTTTTTTGTTCCCGCCTAAGAACCATCTGTATCTTTCTCGTATTGTTTTTGTGTTATTTTATCGTTATCGCTCTTATCTAATTTTATATCTATTCTCGTATTTACTAGGTTTCTCTGTTCCTTCAAAAATTGGGTGGTGCCCAAAAGTTTCTTCTCTTACGTGTATTTACCTCACTCGCGAATCTCTTGTAGTTTAAATCTGTCAAACCACGATCAAGACACCTTTACTAGACTGAAGTCCCTACCGTAGTACCCTTATGCTGACAATGTGTTACACATATCACAGACCATTAGCCGGTGAGACAAAAAGAGTGGTCACGGGATACAAACAAATTTAGGTGATGTGTTCCATTCTAGAGTCACATCAGTGACTCAGTGCTCAGTAAAGCTTTTTCATAGGGATTCATAGAGTAACCGTCTAAGGAGACTTACTTATGAAGCGCGGCCATGAAAATTTTGTTGCGTTTGGTAGATTCAGCTATGAGGTAGAGGGCCAAAAAAATAATTGTAAATTTGTAGACAAAGTTTATTGTACAAAATAAAAAATATAAATGATAATATAACTTTTAAATCTGAAAATATTTACTACTGAAGAGATCTTCTGAACACACGCTACATTCGTTGGATATTCGGTATTGTCCTAATACTGTATCAACTTTAGTGACAGAACAGAAATTCCATCTGCTTTTCGGGGTGCATCGGTATAAAGCACCTTACCATAGTGTGATGTATTCACAATATCCTTGAAAGCTTATCGAAAAATGATATTATTTGTTTGTTACTTATTAACTTTACAGAAGGATGGTAAACAATTAAATATTTTGGAAACAAAGTATGTATCATGAAACTATGTTTTCCGATAGGTTTTTGTGGATTAGGAATTTTAACACAGTCGTGATATTTTCTTCTGGTGTTATAAGAATGATCAAAGGATTTTAATACATGGTCACTTCTGTATGCAAATCAAATTATGTTTAATAAATAAAGCTCTAATACATAGAACAGCTTTCTGTTAAAGTAGTTAGTTGAGTATAAGTTTGACTTATTTAGCATTATATCCAGAAATCTCCGTTGAAGTATTTCCAGTTTCATTAAATGCGAAGCATATGTTTCAATCCTTCTCAAATGGTACATCTAAGACGATATTCTATCAATGAATAGTATATTTTTTAACACAGATAAATTAAGAATATAAGTGATGACAATAAAACATTGAAAACTTTTATTTTCAACACTTCATAAAATTTATTTTAAATTATCAATAAAGCTGTTTTGGCAGAGTGTCTTTCTCAAGCGATCTATTTTTGGTATGTGTTTACACTTTATATTCGTTAACTGAATAAGTTAAGAATGGGAGAACTGTTTGTCTCAAGTTGGTCATTCAGAATTACGTGTATTTTTTAATGTGTTAATTTCCATAGATTCTAATAAAGATGGTTCATCATGCTTCATTAAAAGAATGGTTATATCCTAGAAGGTGAAGTGAGTATGTAGAATCTGTTTTTCTATTATTGAATGCCCTTTTATGTTCTGCTATATCTTTGATAAAAGTTCTACCAGTTTGACCAATGTAAGTTTTTGGGCAATCGCCACATTTAAGTTTGCATACGCCGCTGTGTAATTGCTTTTTCTTTTGGCTCTTGTTGTTCTTAATACATTAACCTACCTATCCGTTGAAAAAGGGAACTTTTTAATAGAAAAATCTTGTGCCCTATGTGATTCACATAAATTTTTACCTAAAATGTTAATATCTCTACCCATTATGCTCTCGCGTCAGTAGTTCAATGATAATAATTGAATCTAGGATAACAACCAGATAAAAATAAAAGTGAGTAATAGTATAGTCAGTCCGCTGGATTTTTACACAAACGGGATCATTCATCGCAGTCCGCAATCATGGCTGAAAGTATCGAAGATCTTACGCCTAAAACTTGGGCACGGTACTCAAAGAAGAAGAAGGGATCATTCATATAAATGGTGATTATAGGAAATAATTAGGAAAATTAGAACTGGGATTTTTTTTTATTCTCCAAGTAAAGATTTCAAATCTGTCCTATTTGAACAATAATCGAATTTGATAAATGAGCAAAGAATACCTGTCAGCCTGGTACCTTTCTTATTAAATTTAACTAAAATTAATATTGAAAACTTTTTTTCTTATATTCTAAACAATCTACTTATGAAAATCTATCTGGCGAGTCCAAGGGTTTGTGTCTCTTAAGTCTTCCCACTTCCTTGCTGTTGTCCAATAAGTTTACCGCACTAGAATTTGGTTGAATTTCTAACCGCTTTAAAACTGAGAAAATAATGACGAAAATGTAGAGGTTGAGAAATATTACTTCCCATTTTTGATTTTTACTTATATACTTACGCCAAGAAATCAGTTAAAAAAACTAAATTCCCAATGAGTCAATCATTCACCGCTTTCCTCAAATTGCTGTTTGTCTGAGTGTACTGTTGTATGGAAGAAAGAAGTTGTTTGCGAAAGTATTTAGCATTTATGTACATAATTTGCTTTTAACAGAAATTTTGCTGTTTGCAGAAGAGCTATCCATAGGAGTTCTCTGATGAGACCTATTAGGTCGAAATACGTATCAACAGATACATAGGAATTGTTTGCGTGAAATCAAATATTTGCTGTCTTTTTCATTTTATTTCGGATCTACTCTGTGTGAGTACTAGAAGCACAATTCGCTAAGGATTTCTGCTTAGTTGTAAAAGACATGTCCTGGAATGCAAATTTTAGATTCCCCATGTCCCTTTTAACATCTTTTATCAACGTCTGTTTGCCTTGCAATTTTTAGAAGGCTCAGATTATAAGCAGAAATCTGAATTGTGTTTCGAAACTATTTTACAAATTTAAATATTTAAATGGAGAATGCCGTGATTTTGACATTTGTTCACCATTTAAATTATGAACTAAAATTGACAGTAGTTGTGGTTCAACAAGTTCTGCAATTTAAATTGCTTCTCTAAAATGCCGTTCTCTAAACCGTTATCCTATTCATAAGACGACGGTACAAAAAACTGTAAGGCGATTTGAGGAATCTGGAGAAGTAAAAGATAGATACCGATCAGGTTGACCGAAACGAGTTATCAATGACAACAAAACTTCAGATATAAGGAAAGTTTTGTTGAAGATCCACATACATCCCCAGGCAGGGTTGCACAAGTACATGATATAGGTCATTCTTCAGTCTTACGTTTATTACGTAAAAATAAATTTAAATCACACAAAATTAACTTATTGCAAGAATTAAGTAAAGATGACTTTGGTTGTAGATTAGAGTTTACTGAGGTAATGATGGATAAAATTGAAAATTATTAAAATTTCGTTAACAGAATATGTTTTTCCGATGAAGCAACTTTTACACTGTGTGGAAGTGTAAATCGACACAATTTAAGGTACTTATGTGACGTAAATTCACACTGAAGACTGAATGCGTGAAAACCATACTTAAAGACCACAAAAATTAAATGTATGGTCAGATATAGTAGTTACTTATTTAATTGGGTCATTTTTTGTCGAAAGAAATTTAACGTCAGATAGTTGGTGTAAATGTTCGGCGATATTTAGATGAGATATTTCCTGGACGATAAATTGGTAGACAAGGTAGAATTGAATGGCCTCCACGTTCACCCGATTTCAATCCTAAAGATTATTTTTATTAGGGATACTTGAAAAATTCAGTTTACAAAACTTAACCAGTAAATCTTGCAGAGCTAAGGCAACGAATTATCGATGAATCTCGAATAATTTCTAGACAATCATGGAGAAATGTGGTAGCCGCCTTCTACCATCGATTAGGGTGCTGTCATCTCACAAATTGAGCACATTTTCAACACTTGAACGTAACTACTATGTTAAACCATGTTCTAAACTATCAATTGTTACGTTTTAATGTATTTGAAAATAGTTATTATTAAAAAATTTTGAAACAATTTAGGCGTTGCCAGACTTCGGTTTTATGTATTTATGACCTTCCAGAATAAGTATTACATATGGTTGAACTCGTATTGAATAGGAGATTCCAATAATGACTGAATATACAGGGTGATGTATTTGAAAAACCAAAGTTACTAATAATATAAGAAAAACGGCAAATCTGGCAACATTGTAAATATCAAATATGGAATCTCCGTATCCCAAAATAGGTGTACCTCAAATTTTGTACAATTATGATTACCATTTTACGAGATAATTAGCCGTTTCCAGACTTTTGGGCCACTCTGTATGTCAAGTTCTAAAAAGCCACTTGCTAAATTTCCACAAGTGTTCGGAAACTATTAATTTTAACCTCGAAAGCACAAATATTTATATTTATACAGTTATTTATTATTTTGATTAATTAAACAGCGATTTTAATACATCCTAATCAAACAGACGTCAAATTTCATATTTTCAAAATTCTTTAAGTAGGAAGTGAAAGTAGATTAAAATTAACATTAGTTCATTTTTATGTACTTCTATAACCTATTTGTAGAGTAATTATTTTAAGAACGCATATTTACAAATCTTCTAGAACATTGCATTATTAGCTTTAATCATCTTAAAGTAGAGCCAGCATATTTGTCAGTAATGTAATAAAATTCAGAAACAAGATCATTCAAGGTTAAATCTCATTTGACTATCTGAAACACTATCTAAGAGAATGAATTTACTTAAATTGTATATTGTTAGAACTGTGAAATATACGTAGGAAGATTCTTCATCTATTGTACATATTTCTTTTAGTTGTAACCTAAATCCACATACCGTCTGTGGAAATTAATTAACGTTGTCAAATAGCGGCAATCCAAGACGACGAGTATTTGTTTGAATAATTTCACAATTACACCAAAAAGAGACAAACTAAACCATTTAGTACATTTGGAGTAGGTTCAAAAAATAAAGAATATACTAGAATTATAGGAAACATTTAATCTCCCAAGTCATTCCAATCAAACAGCATTGCAGTTAAAAGGTTTGTTTATTATACATCATTTTATGGATGATACATACATACAAACGATTAAATAGACAAATTATGTTAAAAACTAAATATTAAAGCCGGCGTATAAAATAAATTTTCAAAATGAGTACAATAAATGGAGCGGACATAACATCAAGTGATTTTTTTTGCTTTAGTTTAATACTAAAACTAAAAAATACTACAAACTAATATTTCTTGTTTTACCACATAGTTAAAACCTTCAGGATGTGATGAATTATGGAATATGCCTAAACGATAATTATCCTCGGCCCAATAACGTTTTTTTAATAGTTTCAATAATATAAACATGTTACACGTACTCAGTACTTTTCTGACGATTATGGAATCAGTGAGGAATAAAAAAATACAAACTAGAGAATATTCACGTAAAATTAAATCTCAACTTGGTTAAGTTTTGTCAAATTATTTTCTAACAAAGTTTAAATAAAAGTGATTGTCAAATTATAAGAATTTTGGCAACATTGTAATATTGACGGTTCTTTCAATGTCAATAGAGAATTTTTATATTTGATTCACAAAATTTGTTAATCACGCAGTTGCTATTTTTATGGTTTTTTGTCAATAAAACATTTAAAGTTTCATATATTGTATAAATAGTTATATTTAAAGTATTTGTATTGAATAATTGACTTTATATGCTGCACTCTGCCAGTGCGCAGGACTTTATTTTTCAAGCTATAGCACTCGAGCTGAGAGTTGTAGCTGTTACAAAATAACAGTCTACAAAACCATACTGCACCTCTACCTTACAGACAGAAGATACATCGCTACACTGTTGCCATACTGTGTAATGTATAAAGTCTCCTGAAAAAGATATTGAAATGCCAGAGTGAAAGATAAAGGTTATCTGCAATTATATTCAAAGGTACAATTAACAAGGAGGAAATGATACTGGTCAAGGATCACTTGGTATTTGGTAAATGAAGTCTAATCTATCAGTCTTCAAACATTACTTCGAGTTTTTTTTTAAATGAACAGTAGTTTAAAGGTAAAAAAGCAAAATAATTTTGAACTATATACACAAAGAAACCACAACCTTAAAGCTACTTCACATTCTATGCGACAGTTACCTTGAGACGTTGCATGTCTTCTCTAAGTTTCTGGGTAGTGTTCTGTACGGCTGTAGTCCTTTCTGAAAGTCCTTTCAGTAGCGAGAGGTGCTCGCACAATTGGTGCATTCCTTCGCAAGCAACTAATGCTGATTCCCATGCACTGACCACTGTCAATTCTCCTGACATGTATGCTTCGAATTCTTGTTGGGGCATGTTGAGTGATTCCGCTGTGAGATTTTCTATGAACGATACAGCACAACACTAGAAATAAAAAAATACAATAGAGAAATAAATCAGGTACTGAGGCATGAGGTATGGGGAACGAATTTTACTGAGATGTGAAGAAAAAAGACGTAAAAAGGTAAATAGTTATTAGATGAATTTATAACTTACCAAATTAGTAAAGTAGTATCCAGCTTCCCCCTGCATCAACCGGGAATCTTTGCAAAACCTTGTAACATACAATATGTTGCTCTTCAATCGAGCTGGATTAGCTTTCAGAACAACAAAAATCAACGCAGGCAGAAACTCATCGGCGCTTACGGGCCCACCTTGGCAATGCTGCAATACTTCTACAACGCTGCGACAGCATTTGACAACGCATGCCAGTTTTTCCTGTGGAGCTTTCATCGAGTCCATTCCAAGAAGGTCGTTGATGGCAGTGTAGACCAAGTCGCGTACTTCGATGCTAGTTTCGCTTATGCAACAATCGAGATGATGAGCATTTACCCAACTGAGCTTGCGAATTCTGTCTTGGATGATAAGGTCTTTCTCCTCGTCGTTTGTGGTTGGTGGGCAGAACAGGAAACTGAAAGAAAACAATTACTATAAGTACATCCCCCAACAAGACGCTACGAGAAGCTCGGAGGCCAGGCCGTACCTCGGAGCTTCTTCACAGCGTCCAGTCCCCCAGGGTGCAATCACTCTTCAGCCATTAACTATATATCAACATCATGCACACTTAAATACGGATCATACTACATAGTTAGGAGTCATAATAAAACACAAAAGAAGAAAAAGATTAGTTTTTTTTATGGTTTTCTAATCTTACTGCACGACGAGAACTGTTTTAAATAAGGGCACAGCTAACCTCCTGACATTTTACTAAAAACAGCCCAATAATTCTGAAAAAATCCATTTATTTTGAGGTTTATGTAATTTCAGTCAAGAAGAAACTCTCAAAGCATCCACCAGGAGTCCACAAAAGACCTTCTTCTCTCCCCTTACCGGCTTTTCTACCCCTACCACAATCTACGTTTGGTTCCCAATCCTGGACGATGGGAATTAAAGCTTAAAACGAAGATCTCCTTCCTGTCTAAACCTCGATTTTCCACACAATTATTTACATTTTAGAGTAAATTGACAACTAGACAATGATGATATAAAGGCAATGAGTAGAATTCTACTCCACTCATTTAGATTGGAATAGATTAAAAATAATTATGACAGTTGTGGCTACAGTTTTGACAGAAGTCAATGAATAAACCAAGAAATGCTATCAATATGTGACCAACTGGAAAATTACATAGTTTTTTAAGTTTTTTCCATAAAAGTTTAAAGCTAGTATATTATTATAGGTAATTTATAGTTTGATTTTACCCATCCGCCAGTGGATATGGAATGGTCGACATTTTGAAACGAAAAAAACAAAATTACATGAGATATTACTTATCATATGATCCCATTTACAATTATTTTACAAAATGGCGCCCGTCCACCTATCGTCTACAATACAGCCAATTATATCTTACCTGTATAGACTGATCATGCTGTACTTCTCAAAAAACTCCACCAACTTCTCTCTAATCTCACTGGGTACGTCTTGGTAAATGACGTTCGAATTAAGACGGGTGTGATACAAATTGTAGTGGTTCTGTGCAATTTCGGCTAACTCTTCAATGGGCTTGACATCCAATTCGTTTACGATTTTATTGGAAAACACTTGGCTAAATTTGAAGAAATCTTTTCTAACTATTTCGCCCCATTGGCTGTACATGGATATGAATTCGACCATCAACTTGTTGGCGTCAGGGTTGGTCTGTCTCATGATGTCGATGTATTTTTCAGGTCTTCCAGCATCTGCAAAACGATAAAGAATACATCAATAAATGAATAAAACATCACCAAAAATATTTTGCAACGCAGATAATGTTATATCAAGAATGATACTGAAACATTTTCAAAATGATGATTCTACCGCGTTAGGAACAAGTTTTTCCATTTGTATCTGTTACTATTTTTAAAATTATTAATATACCAGGTGTTTTTAAACATTAACACATTTATTTCTTGTTTACTGGTTGTTTCTTATTGGTAGATTCCGTAATGTTTCCTCTTTCTTCTGTTAATGTATGAATGGAACTATTCCACAATATTTAGCACTTTAGTCTCTTCATTAAAATTTTATAAATGACTAATATACCTTGCTCTTTAGTGTACTATAATCAATGACACTATTCCTTTGTCTAGACTGCATGACTAAGAACACCAAGTCTTCTACAACCATTAAATAAAAACTGAGTGAATCATAATACAACGCAAAAGATCAGTAGGAAGACGCCACAACTCATGGTTGAAAGACATGTGGAAATGGTTTGACCGCTCGTACGCAGAAAGCTTTCGTGCAGCTGTTTCCAAAAATCGCCACTCTTCTAAAGGAGACGACGTGATAAGAAGAAGTGAAACTTAATACATACATACCTGGAATAGGCTTTAAAAAATTTAAAATACCATTTTTTATGAAATAGTAAAGGTTAGAAACAATGACTTTTTTAATAGTTCCTTTAGCTGTCCTTATATGTTTTTAAAATGAAACAAAAGATTTTGGCGATATGATAATAAATGGGGTGAAAGTTACAAAAAATTTGGAGAAAATTAAATTTTTTTGGTTAGACTTTTGTTATGACATATATGGTAAATTTTGACATTATTTACAGATTGGTTGGATGGAAACTCAAAATTATGCCAAGTGAATTACTTGGAGATCCGTGCAAAACAAATTATTTTTAATGTTTGTCATCTAAATTTAAAGGGTGGTGAGTGTTGGAAGTTTAATCGATAAAGTAAGTGCTATGACAATAGCCACCAACTGTAGGTAAGCACAGCCTTCATGAGGTATCCAATGATAATGGTATCAGACTAATAAATCTAGCAACTTCTCTTAACATGGTAATTGCCAGTATGTGTTTCCAGTGAAAAAATATTCATAAGGGAACGTGAAGATCTCCAAATAGGGTCACAGTAAATATGATCGATCATGTTATTATTGACTCTAGACATCACTCAGGCGTAATAAATGTATGCAGCAGACGAGGAGCAAATGCAGACTTGGATCACTACCTAGTGGTAAGTAGAATAAGAGCCTGAATCTCATTCATTAAAAAAGAAAAGGGATCCAAATTTGAAAAATATCAAATAAAAAACTTGGCAGACAACAGCAAAGAGGCGAAATACAAAAAATATATAAAAGGAAGACTAGAAAACAGACAAAAGCACGAAGATATAAACAGAGAATGGAAAGCGTGTAAAAAAATTATACAAGACGCGGCCAAAGAGACCCTTCTTCTTCTTCAGTGCCTTATCCGGTCCGGATGTTAGCGATCATCAAGGCTATCATGGTTTTGTAAACTGCTCTGCGAAACAGCTCCGCTGAGGTCATCCCTTAGTCGGATCCAGGGTCAGACACCCTGGATCTACAAAAAAAGCTCAAATCAACTGAAGGACAGTGGTTCCATGAAGTGTCGTAACATAACAGAGAGGAAAAATAATGCATATCAACGACTACAACAACGACATAGATCACGAAAGACAGAGGAGGAATATATAATGGTAAGGAGGGAAGAGAAGAAAACACATCGCATAAAGAAAAGAGAACACATAGAAAAAGAACTCCAAGAAATGGACGAACTAAATAAACCATCAGAAACCAGAAAATTCTACCAAAAACTTACCAAAAGTAGAAAATAATTTAAACCAAGAACAATGATATGCAGAGACAAAGAAGGAGATATAGTAATTCAACCGAGTGAAATAATACAAAGATGGACAGAATTCTTTAAAGAATTGATAAAAAAAACGAAGATACTATGATGGAATTATACTGGATCAAACGGATACCAGAGAAACAATCCCTCCTCAGTAGCCGAAATGAAAGAAGCAGTTACCAGACAAAAAAACATTAGTCACCTGGATTAGACATTGGCGCAGAATTAATAAAGGAAGGTGGAGACTCTCTATCTGGTGGAAGGTGGAGAAGTTGCTATCTTAGTTGCAAAAAAGGTCAATTACTCTGTGATAAGTTTTACTCCTTATTCTGATAGGATCTTATCAATACAAATACAGTCTAAAAAAGGTATAGTAAATTTTATTCAAGTTTATGCTCATATGGCAGATAAAGATGACGACGATATCGAACTGTTTTACCATGATTTGGAACAAGTCTTAAAATCAATGAAGAAACATGTAATGGGCGACTTCAATGCCAAAGTTGGCCAGAGAAGAGTGAATGGATATGTGGGGGAATATGGTCTAGGAAATAGAATTGAACGTGGTGACCGTTTGATACAATTTTGCCAGACGGAAGACTTTGTAATAGCTAATACACTTTTTAAGCTACCAAAAAGAAGATTGTATACATGGAAATCTCCCGGTGATACAACGAATAGAATAATCCGAAATCAAATTGACTTTGTCCTTATTAGACAAAGATTTCGTAATTCTACACTGTCTGCCAAAACTTACCCTGGAGCAGACATCGGTTCAGACCATAACCCCATAGTAGTCACATTACGAACCAAATTAAAACTGGTTAAAAGACCCACACAAAGTAGAATTGATATTAAGAGATTAAAGGGACCACAAACAAAGTAACAAACTGTAAAAACTATTACTGAAAATCTACGTAATGCCCAAGAACTAAATAAAAGTAGCTATAACATTGATCAGAAATGGGAAAATATAAAAGTAGCAATAATTAAAACATGTAACAATAAAACACTGAAAACTTTGTTTTCAAACTTCCACAAAATTTATTTTAAATATTATCACTACAGCTGTTTCGGCTGATTGCCTTTCTCAAGTGATCTGTTTTGGCTTGGGTTTACAACAGATCACTTGAGAAAGGCAATCAGCCGAAACAGCTGTAGTGATAATATTTAAAATAAATTTTGTGGAAGTTTGAAAACCAAGTTTTCAGTGTTTTATTGTTACATAAAATGAATTTCCATCAAGTAACGGTCGAATCCATCAATTATAATTAAAACAGCAAATAAAAACTTAAAACCAAAGAATAGAAAACATAAAGATTAGATGACTGAAGAAATACTATTATTAATGAATGAGAGAAAATTATTCAAAACAAAAAATCCAATTAAATATAATGAAACTGATCGATTAATAAAAAAGAGAATAAAAGAAGCTAAGGAGAGAATGTTACATGAGCAGTGCCAAGAACTAGAAGAAATTGAGAAAAAATATGACTTTTTTAACATGCATAAAAGAATTAGAGAATTAACAGGAATGAGAAAAACACTTCAAACTAGGCAGCTAAGAGATGAAAGGGGTGCACTTATAACAGATATAAACCAACAAATGCAGAGATGGACACAATATATAGCACAACTTTTTAAAGATAAAGAGAGAACAGAAGCACCAAAAGAATTTAAGGATGATACTGGGCCTGACATTATACGAGAAGAAATTGAATATGCAATGAAATAAGCTAAAGGTGGTAAATGTCCCGGGCCTGATGAAGTTCCTATCGAATTACTTAAAATTATGAATACTGAATCTATTGATCTTCTTTTGGATCTATTCAATACCATATATAGAACAGGAATAATACCCAAAGAATGGCTCCAATCAACATTCATACTGCTTCCCAAAAAAGCCAATGCAAAGGAGTGCAATGAACATCGCACCATAGACTTAATGAGTCATGTCTTAAAATTGTTTTTAAAAGTAATTCACAATAGAATACATAAGAAATTAGATGAAGGCATAAGTAATACACAAATGGGATTTAGGAAAGGACTGGGAACACGAAATGCAGTGTTTGCAGTAAGTGTTCTTTCGCAGAGATGCTTAGATATTAATCAGGAAGTATATGCCTGTTTCATTGATTTTGAGAAGGCATTTGACAGAGAGCAGCATAATCGACTTAAAAGAAATTTTATTAAATAAAAACATAGACAGTAGAGACATTAGAATCATCTGTAACCTCTATTGGAATCAAACAGCAAAAGTATATATCAAACGTCGACTTATAAAATCAATACATAACAATAAAAATAACAAGATTAACAACTATCATTCTACAGCCAATCGAACACTCGAAGAAGCAATATTGTATAGAAATACAGTTGACATAGATGATAGAACAGTTGAAAACATAATATGAACGTTAAACAGAGTCTCATGGGATAAAACAATAAACAATGAGAACAAAAAGGGGTAACATACGAAAGCGCATAATAATATACCGCTGCAAAATATAAACATTGTGGCAAAAATCTAATGGTCACAAACAGATGAAGCCTCTGCCACAGACTTTCCTGTCGTTCAGCAAACCTCCAAAGTTGAAGCTGAGCGCAAAAAGAAGAAAAATAAGAAAGAAAATAAACAGTAGAGAAGCTAAACGCAAAAATAACAACAAAAAGAAAGACGTAAACAAAATTAAGAATGAAATCATGAAGATAAGGATAGACACGAACAAAACTACAGATAGTACTAGGCAAATAAAGAATAGAACTAACTCCTTAACCTTCTTTCATATACTTCTCTAACTCTTTCATATTAAACTTACAAGTAAATATACACCACCGTTTACATAAACACATACTAATAATAACACTAAGAAGTCGAATACTAACACTTTTTTCGTCGCAGTCGGGTACGAATTTTTGAAATGAAAACCACTACATCTAAATTCGGCCAGGGCATCTTTCAAAAGCAAGTTAGCAGTAGTAAAACAGCTTTTGAAACTACTGTAACTACATAGCTTCAACATAAAAAAACACTCATATTCATCAGAAGTAGCCATCAATTTTTCTACACGCTCAATGATGATTTTTAACTGTCTT